GGCTTTATAAGAACGATGTCGTCAGCAAAACGAAGGTGGTGTAGTTGCCGGCCGTCGACCTTCACTCCCATGTCTTCCCATTCCAGTTGACGCATGACGTTCTCGAGAGCGGCGCTGAAGAGTTTGGGCGAGATGGTGTCGCCCTGTCGAACCCCTCTCTTGACGTCGATGATGACCTCCTTGTAGAATGGTGAGATTCTGGTCGTAAAGTTGCTGTAGAGCTCACGAAGAATCTTGATGTACTGAGTAGGGACGCCCTGGTTGCCCAAGGCTTCGATGACCGCTTCTGTCTCACAGAGTCGAAGTCGATAAAAGTAAGACAAAGCGGCATCTTGTACTCTCGTGATACTTCAGTGTCAGAACAATGATGCTTAGGCAAAATCAGAACGCAATTTAGTCATATAAATCAAAATTAGGAGTTAAAAAGGGGGGCGTTCCATGCGAACTGCTCGATATCAAGTTTTATCCATCATTTCTATTATATATATTTATTTTTATTTATTTATTTATATTATTATTTATTTATATTATTATTATTATTATTATATATTATTATATTTATTATTATATTATTATATTTATTATATTTTATTATTATTATTATTATATTTATTATTATTTATTTATTATTTATTATTATATTTATTTATTATTATTTTATATTATATATTATATTGCATTGCATATTATAGGAACATCTTGAAGTTACAAACACTGATCTGTCCGAATTTCAACCCAAAATTTAGTTGAATCAGCCGCATATCTTTGGACATGGCAAACATGTACCGAATTCGGCTTCTATCAGTCGACTGACTCCGGCCACAGTATTTTCGGCAACCCGTTACCATTAAAGTAAGTATTCGAACAATAATAGTAAAACCAAAACAATATTGATTTGAAAGGAGGTGATGGGGTCTCTCTACAACCCAAAATCGCCTGCGAACATTTATTACCGAGAAGATGCCTGCACAACGAGGCAAGCCTGCGTGAATACAGGGTGGGCAAAAATTACGGTAACAAAAGCGCTAACAAAACATCTCGATTTCCCGAACCTAATAAATGTATCTGGCTGAACAGACCTCGGAGAGAAATCACTGGACATTTCAGCAAAATAGACCGCCTGTACTTATTTCTTCATACGAACCGCCCTGGCCACAAACCATTATTTCGCTCCTATAGTTAATATTTGATTCTGAGACCAGTAGACACGCGCCAACTCCGCCCACAGCCGTCGAGCGGGAGTAATATGTCCCAAGAAACGGCGAATCCTCCACTTTTGCATGTTTGAATCTTCCTTCTCAAAGGTTTTGTCGTATTCGACAAGAATCCATCAAAACCACCCTCTAATCCCTTGAACTTCCACAAATACGACTCTATGCGCATTATCCTGGGAAATGGTTTAACAACCCTGGATATGGCCCCATCCCAAAATTGCAGCTTTGGTCCTCTATTCACAGAGTTCGAAAAGGCTTTGAAATGACCCCACGTCTGTTCCCTGCAGAAAACACCTTTTTCATACTGTCTTAGCAAAATTCAAATTCCAGTTTCTTTACGCGAATGTGCTCGGATCTGTTTGGCCAGGAAACGATGTACTCGATGTACTCAGCGCTGATAAATCGACAGGCCGTGCTGAAGACAAATCGCCATTACGGTGGCCGTCATAACTACAAGGTGACATAAGGTTGCTAGGAATATTATCTACAGGATGATAAGAAAAGCTGTTCAGGGTACAAATGTGGTGATGACGCAAGGCACTCTTGATCCGTGGCATGTTCTGGGTAATGAGACCTGCGACCCTGCCAATAACTGCTACCTGATCAAAGGTGGGTGGATGATAGCTGGCAGGAAATGAGTCAAGTATGAGGGAAAATGGGACAAAGCTGACCTGGGATGCGCCGTGTACTTGCCTCTCAATATGTAAACCAACTCAGCCAGCGCTGTAGGTTAGGCTACAGAATGTTCAACTCAATACTACCACCCTCTGGCAGTATTTAAAGGCACTGAGCACGGTAAACTTATGTTGGTCAAATATGGAATTATGGGTACGGAATGGTACGACGAAGAGGAGGAACACAAAAAAAGCGGTTCAAAACCCAATAATTTAATTCCTAATTTGGTTTAATGGTTTTGAACGAGTTTACGGCGCAAAATGTGACACTTTTCGGGACCAGGAAAAAGACAGAATATTACGAAATTTCAAGATAAAACCGTTTAAAAAATTGCATTCGCAAAATGAAAACTGAAAATCGGAGAATTTCGATAGCATCAATAACCATATTTGGAGGCGGGGCGAGTTTGTGGGCGGGACAGTTCTAGGTTTAGAGCCCGATTGCGCGCTGCTAGCACTTCTTTCGCTGCAGGGTTCACAATCTTATTTTCCTAGCCGCCAAGCTACCGCTTCTAGTGGCGCATAGACTTCTCTGGTCGTCACCCATTTTGTGTCATACTCACTATGTTTGAATTCTTTAACACATTGACGACATCGCGCATTTTGGGTTTTCTGCACCGCGTGGGACCAAGCGATTTTGTTGAAAAGCGCTGCCGCCGCACACCAAATTCATGGATTTTGAGCTGTAAATACGCAATAGTTAGATGCGATGAAGTGTTTTCAATAATGTTCGATCTGTCTAACTTATCGGGAGTTACAGTAATGGAAGTTTGCCGAAGTTGAAATGTTAGTCCACGAGAAGGCAAATTGTACTTACTCCCCCTTTAGTGGTTCAAATATTAATTTGGACGTGGTTGTT